GGTATATTTTTTCCCTATGTGATGACGCTATGGTTAATCTTGACCTTGAGTGATGACTCTGTGGCATATTTCGTCGTTTTGTGTTTGTGTTATTTCTTTGATGTGGCCCGTCCTTGGTATTTGATAATGAGTTACACAACTTAAATACACATTATATCTGTTACCAAAGCGAAACAGAAAACAATTAGGTTTTCCTGCTTTTCCTTTATGTGAAGAATAATCATATTGCAGCCATTCAATCTAGTCGTTTTCTCACTAGTATCATAGGGAGAGTGTTGCATTTAGAACGAAATCTCATTACGTGTTGCTGTTAATAACTGGACTTTTTACCCTTCTCGATACAACTATAAAGATTTAGAAACATTTCATTGTAACGGTTTTTACTGTTAGAGATGCCATAGACCGACACGTGATACATTTTCAAATATGGATTGGGAAATATTTTCAAAGTAACAGGGCCGATTTTATTCAGGTTTTATTTAATTTCAGTGTTAAATTTCCATGTAACTAATTTACCAGTTCAATCATTACTACAAGAGCACTAGAAATAAGCCCGCATTATGTCTGAAACGTTTTCACCAGGAAAACAGTGTCATGCCATGACTAAAACAGTATTTTGTGGGATGGGGACATCTATTTTACAGTCACTAGTTTCTTATCGAGAACTGACTGACACAGAGTCATACTGTATAACATTAAGTGTTCATGTGCACTTTCTTTCGTGGTTTGGAGCTTTCAAATTATTTCGTGGGTACAAACTTTCATGGTCAGCCACGTACAACGAAATATATCCACCATTCCAAGAATCTTGTTTCCCAACACCGTAACACATTTGCGGTATGTTTTAAAATGACAAAGAGTCACATTTATCTCTGTTCATGTCCAACAATTGAAATAATTAAGACACACGGAAAGTAAACATATCTGCGGCGGGAGTGTTAACATCGGTCATACTAAGAAACACTGACATGTAATTCTCGCGACGGATGGTCCACTGCTGAAGGAGAATAGTAACGAAACTTTGTCGAATGACGTCACCAAACAAAATACATTTATTGAACTAAAAACACATCGATACTAAAACAAGCAAGGTCGACCTTTCGTGAAAAAATGTCTGTCGACGTAAACTATAATTGTTTTCACTCTATTCTCTTGTAGTGTTCGCCTTTCATGAACGCGCGGATTATTCCTTGTCTTGTTTCCTGTTCAAGGTGATTTGTATCACATTGCCCGGTCACACAAACTTTAAACCCTCGGTAAAGTGTACTGTTGATGGCGACACAGTAATGACTCCTACTCAACTCGTTATGGAAACAGATTAGCTGACAAGCATGAAATTGTTTGAAATTTGAAATCTGAAAATTAGCTCTTAATGTAATAGACGGACGGATTAAAAGTAATTATCTGTGCATTTTGCGGTATTTAGCCGAAAATATTGTTTTGAAAATCTCCGTTAGATTGTATTGAAACAGTTGGACCAATGTCTAGTTGTTGTTAAGTTAAATTCTGTTAAGGACTTTACGTGTAAACGTATCCGTTCTTGTTATATGTTCATTATATCATATTTACATTTCCGCTTTTCGATACAGATGTAAAAAGAGGCTGATCCCTGAAGGTCGGGGATCGAGAAAAAATACACCTGCTGTTTCCCAATTTACATGTATCGTATGAGGCGACTGATGAGGGACTCCCCTGTAGGATTGGGGATTTGACCAAAATAAATCTGCTGCACTTATAGCAATAGTTGGGATCTTAATATTTCTCTCGACTTCTAACTACCTTTTCACTAGTGGCTTGCTTGGCAAAACGTCACGTTTGGCTTTAAGGTTGAGTGTTTGCCCTGGTGAGGAAGGCAATGGGTTCTGTCCCCAGGCCGGGACATATCAAAGTCCTTAAAAGTGGAAGTTGTTATTCCTGCTTAGCGTTCAGCTTAACGTTGTCTTATTTCTGACGTCATAAACAAACGATAGCATGATGGAGAACACATACAATTGCAGTGTTAGTCTTTCATATAAATATAACGCAAACTTACTAAAGCCATCGTAACAAGCAAATACTAAGCGGGCGTTAGGCTGTTTAAGGAATAGATCTTGTGCTGACAATAAAAACCCTTCAAAATAGCACATTTGATGGAATATACAGAATTGTGAGGTCAGGCCTAAGACAACTACAATGACGTCATCAAATTGTAGCTGGCAAGATTGAAGACTTGATTATGTAAATCCATATTTTTCGCCAATATTCACATACTTTCTAACTGATATGATTAAAAAATGAATTCGTTTTCATTTCATGTAAGATTTGTGGAATCTTTCCAGAAAGCAGCATAATGTGATACGATAACGCGATACACATGTAACGAGATTAAGACTCCAAGTTTGGAATTCATATCGCTGGTTACAATTTATATTTAATCCCGTGAATTTAATCTGAAAGTCAAACTAATTTCTGCTCGTTGACAAAACATGACGAATCACTCACTCAAATGGCTATATATCATAACCAATACTAAAGTATCCACTGATTTTCCTGTTATTTTTTTAACAACAGACAAACCGGTATTTACTATCATGTAAACTATTTAATTGCATTGCCTGGCTTCCGTAACTAATCTAAAACGATGCTTGTCGAAAAACTCAATTGCCATTTGATGCTGTTCGTTCTGAGGACCTGTCATCACGATACGGACACCGTCAAATCGTCACTGAATAATGTATAGTGGTAACTGTCACCCAGGGACTGTGTGACCCTCTCCGGGACAAACTCAGCCCGACAGTCACCTAGGCTGCTGTGTTAATGTCACTTAGCATGGCAGAACTGTTGGGCTGGGAGTCTAGAATGGTTCGAACAAAATAGGTCAGCCGAGAGGTCTAGGTTGTTAATAACCCTGATCGGTCCATGACAATTAACAGTACGAGGAGGTCGACAGATCAAAACATCTATTAGGCCTTGGTAGGGGCAGCAAAGGATTTGACAGCAAAGGTTGACCGGTAGTTCCAAAGGTCCGGAAAGTCTTGGTCGGTTGAATGTTTGACAACCAAGGTTAATAAATATGTCAAGAGAGTTTTCGAAACATTATTAAAGCATTTAGTACCGGTCAGCTGACAGCGAGAGGATTTACAACCCGGTCGGTTAACGGTTTTAAAGCATTAAACATCTCAGTCAGCTGACGTCATTTGACGGTTCGAGGGCATTTAACAACCTAATCAGCTGACGTCATTTGCTTAGTCTATTTACTATCATGTAAACTATTTAATTGCATTGTTGACAGTTCTAGTGCATTTAACAACCCAGTCAGATGACGTCAGTTGATGGTTCTAGAGCATTTAACAACCCGGTCAGATGACGTAATTTGACGGTTCTAGAGCAATTCACAACCTGGTCAACTGACATCAGTTGACGGTTCGAGAACATTTAACAACCTAATCAGCTGACGTCATTTGACGGTTCTAGAGCATTTAACAACCTAATCAGCTGACGTCATTTGATGGTTCTAGAGCATTTAACAACCTAGTCAGCTGACGTTATTTGACGGTTCTAGGGCATTTAACAACCTAATCAGCTGACGTCAGTTGACGGCTCTACAGCATTTAACAACCCAGTAGGCTGACGTCATTTGACAGTTCTAGTGCATTTAACAACCCAGTCAGATGACGTCAGTTGATGGTTCTAGGGCATTTAACAACCCGGTCAGATGACGTCATTTGACGGTTCTAGAGCAATTCACAACCGGGTCAGCTGACGTCAGTTGACTGTTCTAGAGCATTTAACAACCTAATCAGCTGACATCATTTGATGGTTCTTGAACATTTAACAACCTAATCAGCTGACGTCATTTGACGGCTCAAGAGCATTTAACAACCCGGTCAGATGACTTCATTTGACGGCTCTAGAGCATTTAACAGCCCAGTCAGCTGACGTCAGTTGACGGTTCTAGAGCATTTAACAACCCGGTCAGATGACTTCATTTGACGGCTCTAGAGCACTTAACAGTCCAGTCAGCTGACGTCAGTTGACGGTTCTAGAGCATTTAACAACCCGGTCAGATGACGTCATTTGACGGTTCTAGAGCATTTAACAACCCAGTCAGCTGACTTCATTTGACGGTTCTAGAGCATTTAACAACCCAGTCAGCTGACGTCAGTTGACGGTTCTAGAGCATTTAACAACCCAGTCAGCTGACGTCAGTTGACATTTTGAGAACATTTAACAACCTAATCAGCTGACGTCAGTTGACGGTTCTAGAGCATTTAACAACCCAGTCAGCTGACGTCAGTTGACTGTTCTAGAGCAATTCATATGGTCATATGGTGTGGTAAAAAATGTTTACTTTGTTTGGTACGAAAGTTTTAAAGTGATGTTTCTTTTTATCGCGTGTCCAGTGGTTATCTGACAGTAGTGGTAGAGTAATAGTGGTGATGACGCCTCTAGTTAAGAGTGTAAGATTTCTATTTTTACCTGATGTGTTTGTAAACAGATAATTAATAATTTCCTTATATGTTGGTAAAAAGATCATTTATAATTACCTTATGTGTTGGGTAACATATCATTTATAATTACCTTATATATTGGTAAACAGATAATTCATAATTAGCTTATGTGTTGGGTAACAGATCATTTATAATTACCTTATATTTTGGTCAACAGATAAGTTATAATAACCTTATATATTGGTAAACAGATAAGTTATAATTACCTTAACCTTTGAACATGTCGGACTGATGTGGTCTTATGTTCTAGCAGAACATAAGTGACCCGCTAATGCAGAATGTTAAGAGTGTACGATTTCTATTTTTACCTTATGTGTTTGTAAAGAGATAATTGATCATTTCCTTATATGTTGGTAAAGAGATATTAAAATGACCTAATATGTTGGTTAACAAATTATATATAATTACCTTATATGTTGGTAAACAGATAATTTATGATTACCTTATATGGTGGTAAACAGATAATTTATAAATACCTTATGTATTGGTAAACAGATAAGTTATAATTACCTTATATGTTGGTTGGATCGCTCTGAACCTCTCTCTGGGATGATAACTTGGAGGTCACGTGTGTCCCGTTTATGTCACTAAGTTCTCGTTCCTATTTCTCTGTACTGCATGAAAATAGAATTTGTTGAAATTATAACATGTAAAATATAATACTGGTTCACTTATACTCTATGTGATACACCATGCTGGTTAGCTTACACTCAATGTAATATATAATAATTGTTGCCGTTCGCTCAATACAATATATAATGCCGGTTACCTTACACTTAATGTAATATATAGTATTTGTTGCCGCACGCTCAATTCAATATACAATACTGGTTCACTTATACTCAATTGGATATATAATGCCGGTTACCTTACACTCATTGTAATATATACTATTGTTGTCGCACGCTCAATCCAATATATAATGCTGGTTGCCTTACACTCAGTGTGTTATATACTACAGGTTGCATTACATTTTATGATTGTCGTAATCTTTCTTTATCCAATATATAGGCTCAGTATTTTGCAATTTTACAATAGCCAGACACATAGTAAGAAATTAATTATGGAATATTTTTATGAATAAGTGGTTAAATGGATCTAAAAAAGTGATATTAACGAAGTCGAGTTCAATATCACTTTTTCAGGTCAATATAATCAAACATTCATATGTTATTATAAATATTAAATAATGCTTTGGCCATTAAACATGTATGTATGGATGAAATTTAATGGGCAAAAGAACTGCATTTACCGAGAGCATTGTGACGTTACAATTGAAATGACGTCATAAAAGGAATATTGGTCTGCTGTTGCTGAAATAGCAACACCTAGCTCTGAACTTAATACCATATAGCGCCGCCCTCCACGTGATAATGACCCAGCCAATGAGGATGTAGGATAAGCGTGTGTCATCTTATATTGTATCATAGTATACGGTTTGTATCGGAGTAGCAGAGGCCATTCGTTGTAATCATGATTTAGGTCATCAGAAATGGAGAGTTCACCGTATTATTTTTTTGCTAATGAGATAAAGTATTCTTTCCTTTTTAAAAACCCCTGATATCTTTCACACTGTGACAGGTATCAAAATGGATACCGTCACTTTGGTAAGATATCGCTTTTGGTTTTGACCAATCAGAGCAGTACTTTCTATTCACTGTATTCCTACCTAAACACAATGTCTTGTTCGGTGAATATGATGGTAGAACAAATGGTTATATGGGTAAATCGTTGATTAAGATACTAAGTTATTTACTTACTATATACAATGGGTAACTGTTTTTGCAGATTTTATCAGAAAATAGCAGAAACTTTTGTTTAGTTGCCATTTCAAAAATGACGCAAAGCCTAGTTCCCAAGCGTGGCGTCATTGCAATATGGTACAAAAGGTTACTTCATTAGTTTATCTCTCTTATTTTCTAATTCACTTTTCCAATGTCAGCATATTGCATAAAGATCAGCCACCAAAGTATATCATGACAGCACGATTTATCGGCATAAATGTACATGTAAGATATATGATATAATGTTTAATGATAGAAAAATTATTAAACTATGCAAATAATACTTATCTGTTAACACCTCGAAGGCTAGGGTAATCGAAATACGATTAACCTATGCAAATAACTCTATGTTTTAATATTTCCAAGGCGGCGACATTATGGGAGCAGCTTAATTGTTCAGAACAAATATATATCAATGCACGAGACTTGCTAATAGCTTTCAATATTCGAAAGCTAAATCAACTATGCAAATAATACTTATCTTCTATCATCTCGAAGGCGACGATTTTATGTGTGCAGTCTCAATGTGCATTCATTTATACAGTTAGATAATCAGGACGAATGTACATCATTTGTACGTAACGAGATAATGATATACTTAAATCTGCTGTTGTAGACTCTGTACTAGTGTATTGCTGCTCCAGGGATTACCTGATCAGTCAGGAGAAGGTTCAATACTCATTGAAGCAGTATATATCACCACTGTTGCATAAGAACAAAGTATTAAATGTACCTCGGAAAATTTACTTTGATTTATCAATTTTTCTCTTGTGAAAAGTAAGGCATACTATTTTCTTTAATCTCACAACAGCATTGGCGTTAAACATTTTACTTGTGTATTTGTGTTGAAGACTTTGTTCTTTTGTGACGTCACACGTTAGTATTTGCCGAAGAGTTGAGTCAACAAAGGTATCCGTTGTTACGGACAACCAAACCACTGCCAACATAAGCTAGTGAGTATAAAGATATGGCCTTTTTAAACAGTCACATAATATAATTGAGGAAAAATCAGCAGGTTTAAACTATCTTGTTAACATGATTGACTAAACCTAAGTATACAAAACCAAACCCACTTCTTCCACCCACCATTTTAATTGTGTATTACTATTCCATGTAACAATATATTAAGTACTTTGAGTATTTCGGATGAAGCATTTTCTTGTGGGAGCATACATAAGTACATGATTCAGGAATATTATTCGTTTCTCAGGATGCGACAAGTTGGAACTCACCATAGTTGGTTTGCTTGAGCCGATCAACTGAACTTATATATACTAATGTAGAGACACAATGTGTATGAGCTCAGAACTGTGGTCTATGCAAATGGATGTCAGAAGATTTTTTTATATGTATACATAAACTGAAAAGGGAGTCTGTGTTAATTTTTATCTCCCTTGGTTATTTCTCAATTTTTTTTCCAATATTGGCTGTTTCATCTAGCCTTCAGTGGGGAAGACATTCATGAGTAGTCCCCATGAATGTCTTTGTGTCTGAGGCTGGTCACTGATTGGTCAAGGGATCAGAGGTGACGCTCTCTCACTCTGGGACATATCCCCGTATCAGGCAGCCACTATATTTGTAAGCTCATCAAGCTCTCAGATAATTAATTGTTAAACCCTTTCTATCGTCAATATTTTGTTTCTTTATTTTGAAGGAGCGTAGGTTGTTCAGATGTAGTGTTTAATAACATTGTCCAAGATTACTATGTACTGTGTATCATTAGATGTATATAATTTGTAACCTGACAGGTTGTTGCTAGTTTATGTTGAAGTGAGACAACACTTGCCGACTGGTCAGAGCATTGGGTAAACCTACCTCCCCTAATTAACAGGGTTGGGGCAGCCGTCTCGCAGTAATCATGTAAAGATGGGTTTGGCAACCCCACCTTTGACCAATGTTTGGCGTTTCTTGGCAACCCCACTTGGGATAGCTGATATAGTTTGTAGTAGTGGCTGCCATGCGTGTGTGGTGGCAGCTACTGGGTTATTTAATTTTTCTTATAATTTTACATATCTTATTGATTTTATGCTAAGAGCCCTAGTGTGGCTCTATTGATATTAATGAATTCAATGTCACCAATCTGGTGGCCATTTTCATTCATATTGTTGTACGAGTTTTGCTTGTTATGAGTGCAGGGACATACACTTGTCTAACGGAGAAATCTGTCTGGATGGTTTGTTTGTTAAGTTTTAAGGTGTTCTGTAAACAGATGAATACAAAAGAAACAGGATGCGAATACAAACTGTTCATCCTCGTGTTTTAAGTATTTTACAAGCCTTGAAGACACCCACTCTTCAGGTACACCTACACCTATCTTCCTTGTTCCTTTTCAAGGGTCTTTATGTCAATCCTTCCTTGGTTCGTATTTGTTCTAGTTTGATCGTTTTGAGGCTGAATTATTGTTTTTGTTGACACCTTCGTATAACTATGCCTTTAATGGCTATAATTCAAACAACTTAAGTCATATCATAATCAAACACTGTTCATTATATAATCACGAATATGCTAATACTGTTTGCCGGTAAACTTGCGCTGCAGTGTAATTATTGCCTCCCCGTCCTCCAAGATGAGGGCGAATTCATCACGCGGCGAATATTAGTACATAGTGTACCCTTATAGTAATTACATGTGACGGGATAAATTTACACTGGGCGAATAGAGATTTTGCCAGTGAGGGGCGAATATTTGATTGGGCGAAAGTTTCCTGGTAGAGAATCTATTGTTTTTTACTAGGTTAAGTCCCAGATTTATGAACGTTGCATAACATGTTTATTTTGTTTTATCTTAGACCTTGTAGGGGTGGGGGAGGG